TTCAACTTCGCATACTATAATACATTTAAAAACATATAATCGTGCCATTTGAGTTGCCAAACAACAATATTTGATGCTTTCTCCATGTTTGAGAGTAGTGATTTAGCCATTTTCTCGACAGCGTGTTTTGTACTTCTCAATAAAATCAAACGTGTTAAAAAAGGGATGAAATACAATAAATTAATACTCAGAATATCCACAATCAGCCCCACCGCCGGCTCCACCATCCCCTCCACCAATTATACCTTGCATAAAATTATGGCCAACTTCCCGGAAAGCTCCGTCCATCAGCCCCTGCACTGCCGCCGTTATCAAAGTGGCGCCGAGTACATTAGCCTATCTGTTTTTCTGCATAGGCGACGACGCTGCCATATTTGTTCGCACAAACCATGTATTCACGTGACCCATATGAGGATTTGTGGATCCATTCATACTTGCACTGTGCATCAGATTATTGGGAGCCTGAGATTGTGATCCAATGCTTGCAGAATGCATGAGATAAAGATGATTAGGTTTATTCATAGGGAGCCATTAGATAATTCAGGTTACTTGAACTGGAAAATGCTTGGTGATGATGCAAAACAGGTTTACGTTTAGGTTTGGGTGTTGGGTTTTTTGATACCCAATAAATCCAGCGACGATGTTAAACCGTTTTTGTTGGATTAGTCTTCATAGGCCTCGACCGATGATTGAAGTGAAATGTCGACACCACAATGAACGAACCATCCCGACAACCTAAGTGGACCATTTGAAGTAGCCTAATTTGATTAGTGTTGCTCATGGACCGACCAATTACCTAGGGCGGCTTTTTCGGTTGTAGCCCATTTTTAAGGATTAAAGGTTTTTTTTTTTTTAAATTAAGATGCCTGGAACCAGGAACCAATTTCCAAGATATAAAATCAAATTCCTCAAAATAGAAAGACAAAATATACAACAAAGCAGTGAAAATTGCCTTTCTTTACATGACAGTGAAAATTGGAGGACCGGAGGAGTGAAATCCGGAAAAATAAATAGCAACATCTCATTGGTTTACTGTTGCATCTATAGTAGCTGGGAACTGCCATTTTTAATATAGTAGGATAATGGTTGTCAAACATAGGCTTATAAACATGAAGACTCCATAGACTTCTCAATTTCAAGAAATGCAAATCAACTTCGCATAATATAATACATTTAAAAACATATAATCGTGTCATTTGAGTTGCCAAACAACAATATTTGATGCTTTCTCCATGTTTGAGAGCAGTGATTTAGCCATTTTCTCGACAGCGTGTTTTGGACTTCTCAATAAAATCAAACGTGTTAAAAAAGGATGAAATACAATAAATTAATACTCAGAATATCCACAATTAGCCCCACCGCCGGCTCCACCATCCTCTCCACCAATTATACCTTGCATAAAATTATGGCCAACTTCCAGGAAAGCTCCGTCCATCAGCCCCTGCACTGTCGCCGTTATCAAAGTGGCGCCGAGTACATTAGCCTATCTATTTTTCTGCATAGGCGACGACGCTGCCATATTTGTTCGCACAAACCATGTATTCACGTGACCCATATGAGGATTTGTGGATCCATTCATACTTGCACTGTGCATCAGATTATTGAGAGCCTGAGATTGTGATTCAATGCTTGCAGAATGCATGAGATAAGGATGATTAGGTTTATTCATAGGGAGCCATTAGATGATTCAGATTACTTGTACTGGAAAATGCTTGGTGATGATGCAAAACAGGTTTACGTTTAGGTTTGGGCTTAGCTGTTGTACAATTAA